AGGTGACAGTAAAACTCTAATATTCCCAATTTCTGTAAAGGTGACAGTAAAACTCTAATATTCCCAATTTCTGTAAAGGTGACAGTAAAACTCTAATATTACCAATTTCTGTAAAGGTGACAGTAAAACTCTAATACTCCCAATTTCTGTATAGGTGACAGTAAAACTCAATTATTCCCAATATCTGTATAGGTGACAGTAAAACTCTAATACTCCCAATTTCTGTAAAGGGGACAGTAAAACTCTATGATTCCCAATTTCTGTAAAGGGGACAGTAAAACTCTAGTATTCCCAATTTCTGTAAAGGGGACAGTAAAACTCTAAAGCTCCCAATTCCTGTATAGGTGACAGGAAAACTCTAATACTCTTAATTTCTGTATAGGTGACACTAAAACTCTAATACTACCAATTTCTGTAAAGGGGACAGTAAAACTCTATGATTCCCAATTTCTGTAAAGGGGACAGTAAAACTCTAATTCTCCCAATTTCTGTAAAGGGGACAGTAAAACTCTAATACTCCCAATTTCTGTATAGGTGACAGTAAAACTCTATTATTCCCAATATCTGTATAGGTGACAGTAAAACTCTATTATTCCCAATTTCTGTAAAGGTGACAGTAAAACTCTATTATTCCCAATTTCTGTATAGGTGACAGGAAAACTCTAATACTCTCAATTTCTGTATAGGTGACAGTAAAACTCTAATATTCCCAATTTCTGTATAGGCGACAGTAAAACTCTAATATTACCAATTTCTGTACAGGTGACAGTAAAACTCTAATACTCCAAATTTCTGTATAGGTGACAGTAAAATTCTAATATTCCCAATTTCTGTATAGGTGACAGTAAAACTCTAAAGCTCCCAATTCCTGTATAGGTGACAGTAAAACTCTAATATTCCCAATTCCTGTATAGGTGACAGTAAAACTCTAATATTCCGAATTTCTGTATAGGTGACAGTGAAACTCTAATACTCCCAATTTCTGTATAGGTGACAGTAAAACTCTAATACTCCCAATTTCTGTATAGGTGACAGGAAAGGCTATTGACGAAGATTTCATCAATTCCCATTTTCTGTATACCTTACAGGAAAAGCTACTGAGGAAAATGTAATTATCACCCATTTTCTGTAAAAGTGTCAAGAAAATCTATTGAAGAAGATTCGATTATTCCTCATTTCTGTATAGGCGGTAGACAAAAACAAGCTCCAGATGAAGATTCTATTATCTCCCATTTTTATTTTATTTTTGTGGCAGAAAAACTATTGAAGATTCTATAATGAGCCATGTTCTGTATAGGTGGCAGGGAAACTATTGAAGATTCTATAATAAGCCAGGTTCTGTATAGTTGGCAGGGAAACTATTGAAGATTCTATAATGAGCCATGTTCTGTATATGTGGCAGGGAAACTATTGAAGATTCTATAATGAGCCATGTTCTGTATAGGTGGCAGGGAAACTATTGAAGATTCTGTAATGAGCCATGTTCTGTATAGGTGGCAGGGAAACTATTGAAGAGTCTATAATGAGCCATGTTCTGTATAGGTGGCAGGGAAACTATTGAAGCGTCTATAATGAGCCATGTTCTGTATAGGTGGCAGGAAAACTATTGAAGATTCTGTAATGAGCCATGTTCTGTATAGGTGGCAGGGAAATTATTGAAGATTCTATAATGAGCCATGGTCTGTATAGGTGGCAGGGAAACTATTGAAGCGTCTATAATGAGCCATGTTCTGTATAGGTGGCAAGGAAATTATTGAAGATTCTATAATGAGCCATGTTCTGTATAGGTTCCAGGGAAACTATTGAAGATTCTATAATAAGCCATGTTCTGTATAGGTGGCAGGGAAATTATTGAAGATTCTATAATGAGCCATGTTCTGTATAGGTGGCATGGAAACTATTGAAGATTCTATAATGAGCCAGGTTCTGTATAGGTAGCAGGGAAACTATTGAAGATTCTATAATGAGCCATGTTCTGTACAGGTGGTAGGGAAACTATTGAAGATTCTATAATGAGCCATGTTCTGTATAGGTTCCAGGGAAACTATTGAAGATTCTATAATAAGCCATGTTCTGTATAGGTGGCAAGGAAATTATTGAAGATTCTATAATGAGCCGTGTTCTGTACAGGTGGCAGGGAAACTATTGATGATTCTATAATGAGCCATGTTGTGTATAGGTGGCAGGGAAACTATTTAAGATTCTATAATGAGCCATGTTCTGTATAGGTGGCAGGGAAACTATTGAAGATTCTATAATGAGACATGTTCTGTATAGGTAGCAGGTAAACTATTGAAGATTCTATAATAAGCCATGTTCTGTATAGGTGGCAGGGAAACTATTGAAGATTCTATAATGAACCATGTTCTGTATAGGTGCCAGGAAAACTATTGAAGATTCTATAATGAGCCATGTTCTGTATAGGTGGCAGGAAAAGATGCCGTCGAAGATTATTTTCTTCCAAATATTCGGTATAACTGGCAAAAAAACTCCTGATGAAGATTCTATTATCTCCCATTTTTTGTTTAGGTGGCAAGAAAAACTACTGAAGAAGATTCTATTTCATGTGACGGCCCGTATCAACAACACGCGCCTCAGTCAGGAGGAGAAACGAGTGAAGAAGGAGAAAGTTGAAGAGAGACTACGCCGACTGGAATATGATACAGAAGTGGTGAGCAGGTTCTACATGTTACAGCTTGTTTATCGTTCAATGGGTTTAAGTTATTTCTAGATTAACGTAAAATGATGTTATTCACGTTTCATCCAGATTAACATTTGTTATATAGCTACAGTCAAACTGAAAAGACATTAAGGAATGAGCAACAATAAGATGTAAAATCGTTAATGATACCTGTTATTTGATAGTAAATGGTTGTGTTATACCTGTTTCGCAAAGTACGTATGTGAATCGGCAAGTCAAAATGTCGTGTAAGCTGTTCGAAATTTCATACCCATTCGTGCCTGGACTATATACTTACATCCTCCTCCTCCTCCTCCTCCTCCTCCTCCACCTTCTCCTTTTCCTCCTCCTCCTCCTCCTTGCTCAATGGTTATGGTGTGCTCCAACTTTGCAATCATCTGTTTCATTTGCATGATAGGTGTATTTCATTACCGTGACCTTCAATTTTAGATTTATTTCAAATATTTGTGATCGGTCCATGAAAAAGGCTAGTATATTTGGCAATATATAACATTCTTATTTAATTGTTTGAAGGTGAAGAGAACTCTTGAAGATGAGGCCAAGCGGAGTTGTGAAACTGTTAGTGAGAAACTGCATGCTTACATTCATGATCAGGAGACTGTGAAAAAGCTGAAACAGTGGGATATCAACACAGACATACCGGTTCGAGAGTCGGATCTTGCCCTCATCGAACATGAGGCAAAGGAAAAGATTCTTGCAAAGGTTGGAAGAGAAATAAAGATATGGTGCGAGAATGAAAGACTAACCGACATTACTTCTGAGCTCGCAAACCGATTCAGAGAGGAATATTGCCTGATCGAAGAACAATGTCAAGATATTGATAATCTCGTTCAGGACGTCAGCAGTTCCGTGGATTTAGACGATATTGATGACAAAGACGAGGAGTTGTCTCATCGAGTCCCACTATTTGCTGGGAAAGAAAAACTGGCTTTGGTACTTACGGCACCATTGTGGGTTCCATTGATGGTTCTGGCTTTTTCCGTGGCATTACCCGTCATGGGTGTCATAGCGATAAAGGAAAACTTTAATGAAAAGCAAATAAGTAAAAGCTATCGTCAGAATAAGAAAGCGTTCATGGACGAATGGGCCGATGAAGTTTTGTCAAGGTTTTCACTGGAAGCAATATCGAGCAAGCTGGAAATGACATATATGGACAATTTTTACAAATGCCTAGACAGGCTTTGCGATGTTGTTATCCCAAGACAAATCGAGTCGGACCGGGAGCTGATTGTTAATATCCAAAAAGAAGAGCGGCGGTCTTCAGCAATTCGTCGACAGTACCACCCACTTGAGAAACGATGTCAGTGCATGACTGGCAAACTACTTCTCGTACAAATGGAATATTTCTATGAGGATAAGATCATGAACAAGAACATCACCAAGGGAGACTACCTTGGGAAAGGCTCATTTGCAACCGTGTATAAAGCTGAGGTTGTAATAGGAGATGAGAGGAAATCTGCAGCTGTAAAATGTATGACACAGCCTCTGGAGTACTCCGACTCATATTCACAACTGACAGAGGTAACAACACTTATGTAAGTACACCAACTTTCGTTTATGTATACATCTGCCAAAGAGTGTCAATAAGTATGCAATGTAAATTGTTTTTCAAGCATTGATATACTTTAATAAAACATTTTTGAAAAAATGTCAATAAATTGCAGGACGTTTATCCAAAAATAACTACAAGAAAATTAACAAAATATTCTCCATAACTATGTTCTAAATAAAAAACATTCTGGGGGGCTTGATCAGGATTCGAACCCTTCATGTCAGTTTGTGATACTGTCGCTCTAACCAACTGAGTTACCCCGGCCAGCGAAAGTGTTATTGAATTGCTTAACAGTTATATCCATAACAAAAAAGGAGGAATTACTATATTAACAGAAGAAATAAAATAGTAGAATTCTCTCGTGTTTTTTTCATGCAGAAAGAGCAGAGTCCTTAACGTCCTCAACGTGCTTAACGTGCGTAAGACTGTTTTGAAATTTGGGTTCAAGGCAGTTGCTTTGCAATCACCAAATTTTAGATTAAAATATAAATGATGAATATACTTAGTTTTCAATGGTAACTTACTCTATTTGACAATGAGAGTGTTTTTTTCCACATGAAACCAAATTGTCTGAACTTTACATGTTCATTATTTCCCTGTCACCCTCTAGGTGGATCATGATTTCTCTCTTACCCATAGGGTATGACCGACTACACGCAGAAAGAACATGAAAAATGACGTCACGGGAACAATTAAATATGACGTTATAATCAGAACTTGCCAAGAGAGGTCTTGTGCAAATACTGTTACGATTGCCGGAAACTATTGCTTAAAAAATGAAAATAAATGACTGATGGTATTAAATTATCATTTTCTGCCTTGAGGGCATAACAGAGAAATCACCAACCTTTAGGGTGGTTATTTGATTGTATAACCCTTGGTAAAGCCTCGGGTTGAACAACCAATTAGATCACCCTCGGGTCGGATTATTTTCTGTCAGAGCCTCAAGGTACGGGATGATTCTATTAATCACGAATCGCAGGTGGTGATAAGTAGGACCATGTAACATATATCGTCCACTGAGAGCATTTTAACAAAGTTAAATATATATAAATTAATTCCACATGTACTACTTAGGGGAACAATAGGTCGGCACTTCGTCTGTCAGCGCGTGGCTTTGTCTGGTGCATTTCACACACACTGTGTCACCTACCATTGACAGGTTTGTTTCCATGGGTACATATATAAGTATTTACATTCACAGCTGGCGAAATGTCGCATACATAAGACGGACACAGTTTTCCCCTTTTTAATGAGTTATGACTCTTTGTTAAATTATGATAAGAAAGATTGTCTTAGGGTCAGGGACTACGAATTACTCCCAATGTTCTGCCTCTTTCTTTCTTTATTAGTATGTACGATGTATTAGTGGAAGGGGCGTTAATTACAAATATATCGGCATTTCGTTTAATATATTAATATATGTTTCAGCAAATGTTCGCATGGCTGGATTGTGAAGCTCTACGGTATTTCATACGAGGAGATTGGTTCACATAAATATCTCCAAATTATCATGGAGCTCTGTGACTTCACTCTGTCCTCGCGGATCTTCCCTAGAAGGGATGGCAGTCCCGCCCCTGTAACGTCCTGTAGTCAGTTCCTATTAACCTCTAGTGAGGTTAATCCCTCACTGAATTTCTTCAAGAGGGTTTCGATGGATGTGTGTAAGGCATTGGTATATATACACAAAAAGAACTTGATACACCGAGACCTCAAGCCTAGTAATATCCTGGTACGTAAGTGATGTTGCTCTGTATTGTTTCCAAACCTAATTTACTCAGTTGTTATCGTTGTTCGAAAGTTCTGTTTGTAAGAGGTTCTGAATTTTGGCCAAAAAAAACCGTCAGTATAAAAGTAACAGCTACTTCCGTCTTTGTTGTGGTTGTTTTAACCATTCATGCCTCCTCACTAGACGTGCTACCCTGTTTTTGATGATTATTAAACTGGCAATATCAAATTGAACAAAAAGTTTTCAACTATCAATTGTTTAAGTCATTTATTCAGCAACTAATTTAGGTTTCTTCACTCCCGACTGATTGGATAAACCTGCTAGGAGTTTGTAAACACATTTTTGGTTAACCAGAAATTGCTAAATGTGATATGAACGTAATGACAGAGAAACAGAACTAACTCCCATTGGTTAAATCTTAAATTGTGAAAGACACTCTGTAAATATCGTGTCTTTATATTATTTGAAAATTAACTACCTCGAGAAAGAAAAATATGATAATCAACTCGTTGGGTGACCACTACATCTAATGTACTAGTTAGTTTGTGTCCATGGATACGCAGATTGATAGATTCTTGCATGGATTAATCTGCTTAGCTACGTGTAGGAATGACATGCAGTGTTCAGATTATGGTTGCCCGTACCACTGTGGAGAGCTGTAACTAGGTTACCCGTACCACTGTGGAGAGCTGTATCTAGGTTGCCCGTACCACTGTGGAGCGCTGTAACTAGGTTACCCGTACCACTGTGGAGGGCTGTAACTAGGTTGCCCGTACCACTGTGGGGAGCTGTAACTAGGTTGCCCGTACCACTGTGGAGCGCTGTAACTAGGTTACCCGTACCACTGTGGAGGGCTGTAACTAGGTTGCCCGTACCACTGTGGAGCGCTGTAACTAGGTTACCCGTACCACTGTGGAGGGGTGTAACTAGGTTGGCCGTACCACTGTGGGGAGCTGTAACTAGGTTGCCCGTACCATTGTGGAGAGCTGTAACTGGGTTGCCCGTACCACTGTGGAGAGCTATAACTAGGTTACCCGTACCACTGTGGAGGGGTGTAACTAGGTTGCCCGTACCACTGTGGGGAGCTGTAACTAGGTTGCCCGTACCACTGCGGAGAGCTGTAACTAAGTTGCCCGTACCACTGTGGAGAGCTGTAAACGGGGTACCCGTACCACTGTGGAGAGCTATAACTAGGTTGCCCGTACCACTGTGGGGAGCTGTAACTAGGTTGCCCGTACCATTGTGGAGAGCTGTAACTGGGTTGCCCGTACCACTGTGGAGAGCTGTAGCTAGGTTGCACGTACCACTGTTGAGAGCTGTAACTAGATTACCCGTACCACTGTGGAGGGGTGTAACTAGGTTGCCCGTACCACTGCGGAGAGCTGTAACTAAGTTGCCCGTACCACTGTGGAGAGCTGTAAACGGGTTACCCGTACCACTGTGGAGAGCTATAACTAGGTTACCCGTACCACTGTGGAGATCTGTAGCTAGGTTGCCCGTACCACTGTTGAGAGCTGTATCTAGGTTTCCCGTACCACTGTGGAGAGCTGTAAATGGGTTACCCGTACCACTGTGGAGAGCTATAACTGGGCTACCCGTACCACTGTGGAGAGCTGTAAACGGGGTACCCGTACCACTGTGGAGAGCTATAACTGGGCTACCCGTACCACTGTGGAGAGCTGTAGCTAGGTTGCCCGTACCACTGTTGAGAGCTGTAACTAGGTTACCCGTACCACTGTGGAGAGCTATAACTGGGTTACCCGTACCACTGTGGAGAGCTGTAACTAGGTTATCCGTACCACTGTGGAGAGCTGTAACTAGGTTGCCCGTACCACTGTTGAGAGCTGTAACTAGGTTACCCGTACCACTGTGGAGAGCTGTAACTGGGTTGCCCGTACCACTGTGGAGAGCTGTAACTAGGTTACCTGTACCACGGTGGAGAGCTGTAACTAGGTTGCCCGTACCACTGTGGAGAGCTGTAACTAGGTTACCCGTACCACTGTGGAGAGCTATAACTAGGTTGCCCGTACCTCTGTGGAGAGCTGTAACTAAGTGTTGGAAACTGTCTTTGTCGGCATGACAAAATTTAGTTTTGATAAATCATTTCTGATAGAAAACTATGCCTAACAGGTCTTTTGTTTAAATGAATAAACAATAGTGTTTTGAGTGTACAAATTCAGTAGGGCTAGACCTGGCTTTGAACCCTAGATTTCCGATTGAGATACCTAGTCATCGGAAATGCATCGGTCCAGGTTTTCTACAGTTAATATCCAAACGGTTGTTCATGTGAGGTTTCTGTATGTTGGAAAAACCACAGTGTAACGGGATAGGGACCTTTAACTGACCTTTTCTGAAACATCTTCAATTATATGTATTTCCAAACATTATGTAAAGCAATAGTTAGGATACTAATAGATAAATAGATGTTATGATATTCAGAATACGTTCATCGCTACATATAATTTATAACAGAATCAAAATTATACAACCACATATTGGGTTAACTTGTACTCAAGATGTTTCTTCCATATCTGGTACATAGTTGTACGTTGTACATGTATAAATACGGAGGAATATTTTTTTTAGAAAAGTTTTTCTAAGAGCTTCTAAAGGCAATCAACTTTGACTCCAGAATATTTTACTCATAATATTTTTCACTCTTTTAACCGTGATACATTTTAGATCAATGTTTCCTTAATTTAGCCCGATTTTCCTCTGTGATCTATCATTCTTTTACCAGAAACTGAATCCATGTCAAATAACAAAATAAATGAAACATTTTAAAAAGGACAGATTGTGACAAGCATTGTTTCCTAAATAAATATCTAATGAATCATTATTATTTCAAACTTATTTGACATGTAATGTTGTACGATCGCTGTAAATAAATAGTCTGAAGTATAATTTCTAACTAAGAACCTTAATTGTTATCTGAAGAAAACGTTTAAACTTCAGAATTTACTGGAACAGCCTTCAATATTTTCCTTCGAAGATAATCAAGGTATTTTTTTTTCAATCTCTCCTATCACCAGTTTCTGCTACTAATATCAAATAACTTCTTAGACTTTTTCATTCAGAGTAACAGTTTCGATTACTATTTTACATTTCAAAGCATTCTTCTTGACATCACCTTTTGATTGTTACAGCTTCAGGGAAGCCGTGCCAAAATAGCTGACGTGGGTCTGACGAAGGAGACGGACCTTATCACAGGAACGCTAGCTGGGACTCCCGCCTATATCGCCCCGGAAGTGATATTGACGAAACTGTACGGTACGGAGGTCGATATCTACAGTCTAGGTGTACTTCTGTGGGAGTTATGGTACGGTGCCAGGGCGTACCATCAGGATGGTATTGGGGGACACCAAATATTTGAGCAGGTCAAGGCTGGACACAGACCAAGCTTCTACCAAAGTCATATCCCACCTACTGCCTTACAGAAACTAATGAAACGATGTTGGCATGAGAATAGAAAATGTCGACCTGAGGCAGGAGAAATATATGATATTATAAAGGAGCAATTATTTAAGTAATGTGTGATCAAATACCGAGACTCTACCGAGGTAATTGGTCTTTCATAAAGACACAAATGAAATTTTTGGAACATAACGATCGTAAATCAAGGTCTGAATGAGAAATATTAAATACTGTAAGGCGAATATGGACGTTTAGACAAACAAAGCAAAATGTTAAAACCACTCACTGAAAAAGTTGATTTTACAGGAATATTAGGTAAATGTGCAAGTTTGTTCGAGTCACTGCCATAAAAAACGATGTTCTAACCAAAACAGTTTCACTGACATTCTGCCAGCTTGGTCACTGGTGACGTTTGTGTTGTGGGATTTACTACCCCTTGTTCACCAGTGACCAAGCTGGTAGCATTTCAGTGACTCGATGAAACTTGCACAAATACAAAACGTTAAACGGGGGAAATACAATCGATAATTGTTTTTATCGAACTGATCGTACAGCTGGAGAAAGATAATCTCGGTTTCTGGTAATGAACGTCGCCCTTTATTTGAACTGCATGTCTGTACTTATTTGTACAACTGGGTAGACTGAGTATAAATATGTAGCAATATTTATAGTAGTGCTTTATTACACATGCTACACTGTAATGCGCGGGAGATAGAATTCAATGTTTAAATATTGAACCTTCAAAACTAAATATAAACCTGATATTAACAATTTGCCGCCTTTGTTAAAGTGAACACACTGTATTTAAGGTACCTTTCTTGAGTAGATGATTTTCTCTTAATTGTCTAGATGAGTAAATTACGGTCAATATCACTAACTCAGGACCATATAGACGAACATTCAACTCAACAGAAGTCCATATTAATGATTATTAGATTTTTCTCAAATCCTGAATTATAGGACTATAAAATTCAATTGAATACATATAGATGCTTAACCTGACGTTACGTTTTTTGGTTTAAACAATATTTTAATTCCTACATCATAATCATAAATACACAGGTCAATAGGAATATTAATAGGATCTGGCAACAAGTTTTACGTTACGTTTCTTACTTCAACTCATGCTTTGTAAATGTCCACGGGTTGTTTATCGAAATGAAGAACAGTTTTGAGCTCACCTGGTCCCAAGGACCATGGTGAGCTTATGCCATACCGCAGCGTCCGTCGTCCGTCCGTCAACTTTTCCTTTAAAATGCTACTAGTCCTGAACGGCCAAGTAGGTTTTGACTAAATTTGGTCTGGAGCATCCTTAGGCCAAGGGGACTCAATTTTGTATACATGGTGGTGGTCGCCCCCCTGGGGGCAGAGGGGCGGGCCCAATAGGGGAAATAGAGGTAAAACCTTTAACATCCTTCTTCTACCATAGGGATTAAGGGATTTTATCCTAATTTAGTCTGGAGCATCATTAGGCCAAGGGGACTGAATTTTGTATAAGCAGTTGGTGTGGTATCCCAGGGGGCAGAAGGGCGGGGTCCAATAGGAGAAATAGAGGTAAAACCTTTAAAATCCTTCTTCGACCCTAGGGATTAAGGAATTTTATCCTAATTAAGTCTGGAACATCCTTGGGCCAAGGGGTCTCAGTTTTGTATAAACCGTGGGTTCGCCCCCACAATGGCCTGAGTGGCGGGGCCCAATAGGGGAGCATAGCAAATTATTCTTTAAAATCCTTCTACTTCTGTAGGAATGACAGGATTTGGTCCATATTTGGTGTTGAGCATCCTTGGGTTAAGGGAAACCAATTTTGTATAAACGGTGGGTCTGGCCCCCTTGGGGCCTGAGGGGCGGGGTCCATTAGGGGAAACATAGCAAATTATTCTTTAAAATCGTTCTTCTTCTGTAGGAATGAAAAGATTTGGTCCATATTTGGTGTGAAGCATTCTTGGGTAAAGCGGAACCAATTTTGTATAAACGGCGGGTGTGCCCTCTTGGGGCCTGAGGGGCGGGGTCCATTAGGGGAAATAGAGGTAAAACCTTTAAAATCCTTCTTCGACCATCGTGATTAAGGGAGTTTGTCCTTATTTAGTCTGGAGCATCCTTTGGCCAAGGGGACACAGTTATTTTAAACATATTCAGGTGAGCGATACAGGCCCTCTGGGCCTCTTGTTATAGATTACCAGTGTGTTAGTGTGGAGAATGAATGTATAATCATCTATTGTGTAGCTGACACTACCTATCATATATAGTGCCTTTATAAAAAAGTGCTTTTTGGAAAACGTTTATTGATTGCAGATGTGAAGACAAACTAAATATAAATATTTGTAAATGTAAATGTTTGTAAATGTTTGTAAATATAAATATTTGTAAATATAAATATTTGTAAATGTAAATGTTTGTAAATGTTTGTAAATATAAATATTTGTAAATGTAAATGTTTGCATGGATTTATTTGGATTCATCTGTTGAAGCTTTCTTTATTTTACTAAGCTGTCGATTTTTTATGATTATTTTTCATTCATTTTATAACATGTGTGTTCTATCTGTTTCATATTAATAAATTATATTTTAGGAATGGTTACCTCTCATTGTTATGTTTGTGAACGGTATTTGATACGCAGCAAAATACGTTTGGCAACGGACCAATATCAAATGGCGTCGTTTCTAGTTCTTTCCCAGTTACCAGAAGCGGAAATACGTTGCAACAACTCTACTGCGCATGGCATTTATCAGACTGACCAAAAATAGACACAGGAATGTATTCGAAGCCTATATTGCATAAAGAATAAGAACGTTTGTTTGTTTATCAGCTGGTTTTATTTATAAATGCGATTAATCATTAAATGGTGTGGGGTTTTTTCAATACAAGAACATATTTATAAATATTTCAATTATAATGATCTCACTGTCATCACTTTTCGATAATGTAAGGAAAATATCGCTTTTTACGGAAAAAGTCTAACATGTTTTATTTTAAGTCTTATAAGTAATCAATCTACTTTTTATCAATTATAACTTATACTACTATCCATTTGATGTAAAGAACTTTAGAGTTATTTTACAAATTATATAGGGCGCTATATGCATTTTGTGTATCATTGTTTTTTATTATTATGAAGAAATATTTAAATATTATTATTTTTAATTTAAATATTCATTGTGTAGAAGGTCGCTTTTTACAATCTATCTAGATGTGTAGAAAGTAATATTAGTCATGCTAAGGGGCTGAAATCAACCTTTTGGTTCGTCCAATTGGGCTGCCTTTTTATCAACAGTTGATTTAAACCCCTAAAATGACCAATAATACACTTTTACACGCGAAGATAGATTTAAGAGAATACACAAAATGTAAAAAATAGTTGGGTTTGTGTGACTCATACATATGAAATGTACAGGGAAAACTGATAAAAAGTCGGCTATCTGCCTCGTGTTCAAACTGATAATAGGAGGTAACGTAACTGACATCGTACGGCAAATATATTCAATGACATCCACGTTACATCCGGTAGTTATTTGGACGTCAGTGGTTATCAACTTTCTTAGACGATATAAAACATTCGAGTCAAAGAATTTAAGACTCTTTCATGGCGGGGGGTGAAGGGTAGGAAAATTCCACCAGAGGTGCTTTTCAAATTTGGTAAAACGAAAGGCTTTTTGAAAATTCCTTTCTTATTCTGGACAGTTCTATCTTACAACCACGGTTCGATTGAATAAAGTAAAAAAAATAAGAAACTTCTTTTCAATTTCAAAATGAAAATGCCGATTTTAAATTATCCCAATTTATTGATCCTGATAACACATACTTTATGTTTTGCATTGGTATTAAATTCACACTTTTTTTCTATACAGAAAATGCCCAATAGATTGTCTTTTAATTGGCGTTAATGCTCCAGAGATGAACAATTTGATCAAGTCGGATTTCATAAAAAATATATTCAGGAACTTTCATTGCACTTGCTCCACAGCGACTGACCGACTTTTGTTTTGTTTTCATTTGAGGCTGATCGTATTGGAGAGTTTATACGGACAAGGGCCTTGTCAAGTCGCCTTCCGATATACCGACGGTGTAATGTCTTCATTTGAGGCTGATCGTATTGGAGAGTTTATACGGATAAGGGCCTTGTCAAGTCGCCTTCAGATATACCGGCGGTGTATTGTCTTCATTTGAGTCTGATCGTATTGGAGAGTTTATACGGACAAGGACCTTGTCAAGTCGCCTTCAGATATACCGACGGTGTATTGTCTTCATTTGAGGCTGATCGTATTAGGGAGTTTATACGGACAAGGACCTTGTCAAGTCGCCTTCAGATATACAGACGGTGTAATGTCTTCATTTGAGGGTGATCGTATTGGAGAGTTTATACGGACAAGGACCTTGTCAAGTAGCCTTCAGATATACCGACGGTGTATTATCTTCTTTTGCGGCTGATCGTATTGGAGAGTTTATACGGACAAGGACCTTGTCAAGTAGCCTTCAGATATACCGACGGTGTATTATCTTCTTTTGCGGCTGATCGTATTGGAGAGTTTATACGGACAAGGGCCTTGTCAAGTCGCCTTCAGATATACCGACGGTGTATTGTCTTGAGATTACAAAAAATATATTGACAACATCATTTTGTCAGTGTACAACACCAGCTCCTTTATGCCTGTACAATGTACAGTATTTTTGCATAATAAAGTTAACAAACAATTGAATCTCTCTGTTGACGTGCACGCGTTGTAAGAATGTTTAGGTGGTCGGTTATGATTGTATTATGTAGCTATGCCAGTCCTTTTCGTCCATCCAATTAAAGACTGATATAATTTTGTGCTGAAAGAAATGTTGTGAGTACTGGAGTTAATAATGTCTTTGTTAATCGGGTCTTTTTATGAAAACGACTACAGAAATATGCATATTTTGAATAAATATATTTATATGATGGAATAATGAGGTGAAAATCGAATCTGTAATTGTCCGAACCTAAATAAGTGACCTTAAATGACCAAACATACCCTTTCAAGCACTTCCGAACGATCTCCCCCGTTACCCATCGGACAGGTACATAGAGGTATATCTATGATAAGGCGAATACTGAGGTGAAGGTCTTCAGTACGTGTCAATACTATCTGTTGATGTGTCAAGTTTCATGATAAGGCGAATACTGAGGTGAAGGTCGTCGATACGTGTCAATACCATCTGTTGATGTGCCAGGTCGCGCCAGTTACAAAGTCGATACCGTCGTCCCATATCTATATGTGTACCTTATTATATGGTGATAAAACACTTCATTCTATCATATCTAGTAAATCATATCTTCCCTGTTGTATGTTAATGTGGGTTAATTCATTCGTTTCCATACCACGGAATGGCTGCAAATTCGAACTATGTATTCATACCTAACGCACCGTTAGCATATTTTATATGTTTCACGGAACATGTACTTACAAATATACCTTTTGATATCGCATGATCACATACTCTCTATTTTATTGGCTGAATGAGATCATCTGATATTGCCATATAAACCATGTCAAAACTTCTAAATGATCACCTCCGTAACCCATCGGACGTGTACATACAGGATTATCTATGATGATGCATACCGAGTTGACGGTTTTCAGTACGAGTCCGTACTATCTGTTGATGAAATAGGTCGCGCCAGTCACAAAGTCCATAACATCGTCCAATAACATATACACCTACCCTATGTATATAGGTAATGATGCATAGTTCTCTTCTGTAATTTGGCCCTGTTATGATATTATCAATCAAGGTCAAAAACCATACTTTCAAGTGTATTGTATTGTAATAACAATTCATCATCCATTGTATATTATGTAATCATTGTTTAAGTTCACTCTTTTATGCAGTGAGGTTTTTAACTCCAACTCTAAATGAATCCACATTGTCAGTCAAAGTGTTTTTCAAATTTCTTTCGCAAACCCTCAGAACGTAGGGTAGGTATGGATGTTAGTTTCAAGGAAGGAAACATTCACAATCAGAAAGTCGAAATCGTCACGCTTATCGCACAGCTATGTAGAATTCAAAGTCTTTCCGGTTTGTCATGTTGTAATTAAAGGTCGAAGAAAGAGTCTGGTGTCCTTAATTTCTAGCTCTGGAGGGTGTGTACAATCGATATGGTCAAAGCATTTGTTGTTATCAAAAAAAAAGCACATCGTTGATATTTCTGGACATGAACCTAAGGACTTGACTAGATTTTTGTTACCAGCCCTGATAAGTTCATAAATAAATTCAGCTTGATATAAAAGCAAAAGCAATTTG